GTTGGGTATGAACAACAGTCTCTCCCAATTTGCGAATGAAGACAGCAAACATTGTTCGTACGGTTCGCGACGGCTACTGGGACGCTATGGGCATGAACATCATCTCGAAATGGACGGAGAAGGGAGGTGATGCAGAAGTACTACCACCCTCCCCTTTTCCATGCCAATGTCAGCTGACAACATCAACTACTGTCTCATTGCCCACAGTGGGCTGCTCCATGTTGGGCACCACCTGAGGTCTGATTGCTCATCTGCTGGTCCCTCCTGTACTTTAGATAGGTCTTTGTTCAAACTACATGTTTATTCAAAAATACCACCACTTTACCAGAGGGTTTTTATGTCTGCCTCGCCATTACTTGGAAGCCGACCAGCAATCCAGCCAAACAAGTGTCAATTCTAAACTGAAAAGTGGATGTCCACTTTTCAGTTCAAAATTGACATGTATTTGGTACTGTTTGTCTATAGCTCTCAAAGAATAGTGTGACAAAAAAACGGGTCTGTATAAGAACGATTCCTTACGTAAACTCCAGGACTCGTAATATCTCTTCTGGGTGCCACCACACAATAAACATGGTTTATTTTTTCCAAGAACAGTCAATGTACTGGGCACCACTCCAACTATACTTGATTTTAGTAACTTTGTCCATGGTACAAATTGGACTCAATGTTATTCACCAGCCTTATAATAGGATTCAATGCAGATACTGGTTCATGGCCTATTTGAACAATCTTTTACTATGTTTGTTCAGGTGTTTGAAACTGTGGATTATTTTACCTTCCACTTGCCTTGGGGCCTTGGAATTTTCACAGAAGGTGTATTTATGTATTACATTTATTGTCTCAAAATTTTAGAACGAGAGTCAAAGATTTGTGGTCTGGGGACATGGATTTGTGCTTTTCATTACACCAGACAAACAAAAGTAATGGAATGTTCACTCAGATCCCTCCAGATCGGCTTTACTGTTTATTCTAAAACTTTCCAATTGCATTTGAATGGCATACTTAAGTTCAAATAATAAAAATTAGATGGCGAGGTGAAGTTGTCATTTCAGGAAGGGCAAAAGACCAAATTCTGCTGTGAAACAGCTCGAAAAACATGACATTTGTGTGACATTTGCACATCATCCATCAGCCAAATTCGTTGTTACCTAGTGTGACACAAGTTTCAATCTCCTGATATATCTGAACCCTTGTTGAATACCACTAAGCTATGCGTAGCTTGGTGGTATTCAACATAAAGTAAACCCGACCCAGTGGTCGGTGAATAACCCCCCTATGACCCCATACAGTGGGGCCGGTGACTACGCGTGCTGTAGTAATTCAACTAGTATAGTATAATGTCACCCCTTTATGCATTTGGCACTGTAGTCTGCCATCATGGGTCTTACGCTATCTGGCACAAGCAGGAGTCAAACATGAGACTTCAGGGATTAAGCCACTGAGCCGTCGGGTTTACTTTATGTTGAATACCACTAAGCTACGCGTAGCTTAGTGGTATTCAACATAAAGAGCGAACACAACACATTTATACCAAAAAAAAGTAGATATTCATATAGAAGAGAAAAAAGATTATTGGCTTGTTAAAAATTCAAAGAATTCAATGGATTGGTGAGGCAGAAATCGTGCAGTGGTGAAAAAGTTTCAAACACCTGAACAAACATAGTACGTGTTAGTAGAACATTCTTTGAGAGACTGTTGAGATGATATGGTTTTTTTTCTCTTTTCTTTTCATCATTAGGGGCAACAATATTCTCTGGTTTTGAATCCCTTTTGTATATGCTTCCAAAGTTACTTCTGTGTTTCGATGTAGTATCAATGATGTACAATACTATAAGCTCCCCCCCCCCCCCCTCAAAAAAAAAAAGATTGCACATATGATGACTTTATGCAATAAGTGAGCCAAAACCCTTTGGTATGTACCAAGATGTAATCAATTCCACTTTGATGACATCATTCAGGACAGTCCCAAGGGTGCATTGACTGACAGTATTTCCAGGTATTCTACCTATTATCTTAGAGCAGGATTGTTTACATTCATTTTGTAAGTATAGGCACTTGAGATCCCTCCATAGTCCAAGTAACCTCGTTATTGATAAACACCATCAGTGATAACTTGAATAAATCCTATCCCACCATTCACCACCCTTAAATCCGACACTTCAGCTCCCCACCAACCATCGCAATCGTAGCACCCAAACACCACCCTAACTCCGTCCCTCCAATCTTCTTCCCAATCGCTACCTCTCTCCCATCCTCAAACTCATACCCAAGCCTCAACAACACATGCATGAACATCAAATCAAGGCACCACTCTGGTCTGTCTGCGAGTTCATTCATGAGTTCGGAATCGGCGCCCCAGTGGTTCCGTAGCCACTCGTCGCGGCCTTGGCAAACTTGACGCGCGGTGCTGGCAATGGTGGATACAGTTATGTGGGAGGAGGGGGGGAGGAGGGGGGAGAGGCGGTCGTAGAAATAGGAGAGGAGGTGGACTTTACCGTTTGGGGAGGATGAGAGGAGGGAGGGCTGGTAGACGCTGTTGAAGGAGCAGGGTTTGAGTTCGCAGATTCTATGTGCATGTGTGTATTAGTAGGGAGGTTTAGGAGAAAAAGAAGGAAATAGAGGAGGAGGAGAAGAGTAGGAGAAGCGGACGTACGCATCCTTGACCAATACGAGCTGCATCACCCGATCACACGCCTCAAAAGACCCAATATCCCCCCCATCCATCGTCACCTTCCTCTCCTTACCCGTCACTTCATCCTTAACAGTCACCACCCTCCGTGTCCCCTTCGCAAGACACGGATTCCCCACCACCGCCTTCGGCTTCAAACCCTGCGACGTCGACATGAAATCCACCAATCTATGGACGTGTCCCCGTGCACGCATCTGCCCATACCCAAGTACGAGTGTTGGTACAACACATGATTCCGGCCACCGAATTGGAGGTCGTATTTATGTTCTCCTTTCTCGAGCTGCATGTCGGAGGAGGCGAAGACGGGCTCGAATACAATTTGCGTAGAAGCGCCGCCGAGGTCGAGGACGGCGTAGGTGGGTGTATCGGGGTGTGTGGAGGCTTTGATGGTCCCCAAGAGATAGTTGGCCGTTATCCACGCGTATACGCCCTCATCTTTTCCATCCATAATCACTACCCCATCTTTTTTTCTTGAAGCTGAAACGGATAAGAGGAACGTATTCTCCCTTCCACCGCCTCCAAAATATCAGCGCTCTGGGAACCAGGTAACAAACGAAGTCCAGCGGTAGCTTTAACAGCCACCGGCGTACACCCATGCATAACTTTGGGCACGACGCGGACAGCTTCGTCCAAGAGGACGTCTAGGCTCCGCGCAGCGCCTTCTGGGTTCCCAGCGAATGAGGATAAACCAGGTTGCGTCATTTTGAATACTTCGTATTCGTATTCGGGGGAAGGGCTACAGTTGTTGAATTTGTAGACGTGGATCCTGGAGCCGGTTGAGCCTGCGTCGATCATTAGTGCGTATTGGAGGAGGGTGCTGGAGGAGGAGTGGGGGTGGGTATAGTGCGTCATTGACGAGGGCTCTGGACCAGCTTCAATCGAGTTTGGGGGATGGTGGATGGTTTTGGAGCAGGGACGGGTGGATGGTGTTGTTGTTGTTGGGTTTGCTGGTGGTGCGTTTATGAAGGGAACGGCGCTGTGTTGGATTGGTATCTTTTTTTCGTAATCTTTTCGTCAGTTTATAGAAAGAAAGGAAATGTAACTCACCTTCTACTTCTAAATCAACGTTCCCATCCCCTCGCCAGGAGAATGTATGCCCCTTCGGCCAACCAAAGCAACATCACCCCAGCGAGGAGCGCAGCGCACAAAGCGAACTTCTTCCACGTAGACCTCTTCGTCATATCAACCCTACTCGGCCCATTGTGCCTTCTAGTCGGTCTTAGTTGCTGCTCCCAGGAGACAGGGTTGCCATGAGGTATCGTAAACGAGAGGTGAGGCCTTGAGCTTGAGGTTGTAGTGGGCATTATTGACCGCTATGGCGCGAACAAATCCGGTAGTGATGACTTTCTACCAAATGTAGTCTTTTCGCAGCATACGATGCAGTGGAGCCATTGTTCTCCATTAGAAGGATCGAGCAAGGATGGCCGTCGGTCTTACCACAACGCGAGGTCAACGTCATGGGCGATGGCCAAATTGTTGACCAAATTCAAACAAACATCTCGCAAACGTCTCTTCGCATTCCAACAGGTTTGCTTACTGTAACTACATAAATACCGTCCTGTTACCTCCAACTACATTACAGTCCGAGGTATTTGTCTCCCAAGCCAACTTCTATGCCATCGCCGAAACAGTACAGCTTGCCGCATAATTTGTCTCCCGAGCTCCTTCCATTGCACAATATTGAATGTATGCGGGGATCGAGAATGATGTTGAAAATCCGTCGATCCGATAAGAGAAGCAGGTGGTGTGGGCTCTCCGTCCAAGCCCTAGAGACTATCAGCAAGTGAAAGGAGGTCACGATTGAGGAGACGTGAAAGAAACGAAGCAGGATTTGGGTAGATGACGACAAGGGGGTTAAAGTGACGTTCAGGCGATGTTAGAGGGAGTTAGGAGTTTCAGTCGGTTGAAGTAGTTAGTGCCATGGAGAACACTGGGTTAAGAAACTTCGTAAGTTGTATCGACAAGCTTCTCGACTCCTAAACACAAGCGGGAGGCCCATAACCATGCTAGAAAAGGACCGATACCCAATGGTACGAAAGGCTACTTGGTGATGCTTGCAGGAGAATGCGATGGGTATTCTTCAGTCTTGAGTCATAAGTTGAATTCAAGAGCCAACTGTTGGTCCATTCATTAGCGACATTATGAACACGAGAAAGAGGCGTAGAATTACCGGAAATTCCACGCATGCTCGAATTAGGTGATCTCCAGCCACTTTCCCGATGGTGCTGCACATTTCGCGTCGAGGAATCTGTGCTCAATGAGTCTTCACGGATGGCAGAGAATCCAGGTTGATTTTATGAGACGTATGACTTCAACATAAGGCGACGTCTGACTGGACCCCGCCCTGTCCGGAGAGGTCGGACCCCTGCGCATGTGCAGTCGGGACGACATGCATACTCGACCAATCGAATTGATGAGACTGGGATATAGAGAACAATTGGTTCAGCAACTCTCAACCCAACTCGAAAGCCAACGAAGGCCCACCGCCAGGTCTGAATGCGAAGGGACAGCTCCAGTGTATAGACGGCAGTCCCAGTGAGTTATGATGAAGCACGACGATGATTCCACAGCAGAAAAGCAGGTCCCAGTGGCCGTCCCATCCTTCAAAACAACAATGAATCCAAGTTGAAGGAGGAACGAATCTAAAGGCTGGATCCTCACGCCAGAGAGAGCTCCGAGGGTGAGAAGTCTCTAGATGGCGGTCCTATTGAATTGGGGGTATGTGGGATGCTGCAGGTTTTATTCGAGGTGTGGATGGCAAGATGGAAGATGATGGCGATGGGTTTCTATTGTCGTTGACACGAACAACCTGTACTTTGGGTCCTTGTAGTTGCCGCTTAGACACACGGCAAACAACTGGCAGAAGGCGATGTTGGTGAGGAGTGGACGCAGAGGATTGGGACGTTCCGGGGTGATGAGCGAGGGCTTTGAGGTGTGTTGAGGCGGAGGTAGTGGGTGAGGAGGAGTAGCTCGCGTATAGAACGTTTTTGGGAAGCTGTTCCAGCATGTATCCAGGACAAAGTTGTGAGAGGGGATCGACACCCCAAACATATGCGCGGAAACGGCAGAAGCAGACTGGGGCCTGCCGAGGATGCGATAGATCCTCTTGAGACATAATACAAGAGTAGTAGCTGTAGGTCGATTCGTTAATCACAAGATGAGCATGAGAAGGAGGCGCATACTCACCGGAAACTCCATGTACCTTCCAATGAGCTGATTTCCAGCCACTCTACGTCGAACATGCTTCACGTTGGCCATTGTACGTCTTTTTGTTTCCAAAACATGAGGTCGTTCACGTCCAGCCTAACAAGTAATCGGCGGGAGGGGGGTGGGTCGCCTGGTCAAAGAACATGTGAGTCGTCTGCCGTTCGGTCGATGATAACGGGGGGTTGGGCGTCTTGTGGGAGGTGGTCAAAAACTGTGGCGATTGGCGCTGAAAGAAGGTCGACGAAGCCGGGTGGTTGGAGCGCCGATTGGTCTGTGGCTGCTGGGTGGTCGGCGACCGTAGCTTCGCAAGGTGAGTGTTCGACAAAGGACAGTGATGGCTCCTCTACTTGCACAACGAGGGCGATGTACAAAGATGATTCACTGTCGCGAATCGAGCAGAATCGCCAAGGCTTTCTCTAGGCAATTATCCAACACTGCAGCAATGCCACGGCATCAAATGGCGAACACGAGTTGAGACGACGTGAGGTAACGTCTAACATTCTGCTTAGGACATGTGGGGCTATGGAATAGCCAGGCCCAAGTGATTGTATTGCGGGTGAAAGATGGCGGCTGCTTGGCGATTTCGTTGCTTCAGGAAGCCATATGTTTGGATCCGTGAGGTGCATGGTGCAGGGCTTCAGAGAACTGACATCAGAAGGAAACCGGCGGCATGGATGGCAAACGCACCTCAGAGTTATCCAAGCCAGCTTCAGCTATCAAATGGCCAAGGGCGAACTCGGAAAGGCAAAACTAAATCATTGTCCTGTGATGTCTTGAGAATGTAGAGTCATCGAGAGGGATAGTTGGCGGTCCAGTAGTCCGCGCGACGTGTTGGATGTGTCTTGGTCGACGTCAAGGCATGATGGCGGTCAATGACTATCCCACGACGCGCTGTCATCGATTCATCTTTGGCTTGTGTCATTTGTCATGTTCATGACTCCCTTGGATCTCTGCTACTGGGACGTCCGCCTTTTCTGCCCGCAATTGTCCTTCGTCTGGTGCTTCATCTCATCTTTGGGAGAGCAGTCAGGAGTCGTTTCCTGGTCGTTTCTACGGCGACTCCATACCAACATACGATCTAGTAACGTACTTTTGCTCTCTATCGATGTATCTCTTATCAATTTCTTTTTTAGCCCTCAGATGTGAGCGCATGAACGTTGACCCTACGTGATCATACCCAGCTGGCAGCACGCACACTTACCCATCCCTTCCTCGCCCCAATGCTGTTCGCATCCATGAATTCTACCACCTGTTCACGACCTTCCTTTCGACGTATCAATAACGCTTCAACTTTGTTGGGGCCTTGGCGCCCACTTCTGCCGCACTTCTGTCTCATGAAAATCGACGCATTGACACAAGAAGGGGTAAAGAGTTCGTTATCCGTTCTCCCTCTCATTACCACGACATCTAGGATCAGGTCCATTGAGATATCGCAAACCGTGCATTATGTTTTGACTCATGATTACACAGGAAGTTTCAGAGGGACTGTATCTCCTTAGTATGTTGGCCATCTTTTGACGACATCTATGGATAATTTCCTATTTTTGACGGACTTTCTCTACAAGAATTACAATCTGTATGATCTAGGCATCCAAAGGACGTGGGTGTGCGTTATGGGAAAACATCCGAGCGCAAGTGGCGAAGAATGACCACCTCCAACCGCGCAACTGCAACGAACTCTATCCGACCAGCCTCAAACGCCACTCAACGAACATCGAGATGTAGCAGGTGCAGCGAATGTCATGGGTGCTATCAAGTGAGTACTGCGCCTTTGGCTATTCCAGTATGTTGCTAACATATTGCTCAACCAGGCGTCAACGGTAAGTTCTTACAGCGCAAGCCTGTCGTCGTTCAATCTTTGGTTCTTGCTGATGCGCTCTCATTTCAACCAAATTTGTCTGATACTGGAACTACCGCCCGAACCTGTGCGGGCTAAATCAGAATTGGCAATTCCAATGGCTGCTCGGAGGCCGAGCATACCGCAACCGCTCTACGGTAACCCTCCATGAAGTTTCCATTCGCCGGAAGCCATTAAGTAACCTTTTCATCAACGTTCAGCCACCGACCTCTGACAACGAAAGGAAGATGATCCGGGGCAGGGGGACCTCGGTCGAGATCATGTTGCGCCTAGAAGGGACTAGAGCCATACCCGGTATCGATTGAAATAGTGAGGAAGGTATGCATGCTTCATGAATACAAGATGTTCAGTTGTTCCGGTGTCAGTGGGGACTAAACATCCCGGTTGCTAAATGAGAGTTGGTGGAGCATAGAGTGTAAACGACTCGAACTGCGCAGGGCTCCCAAGTGAGAGTCTGGGCTCTCCTCCCTCCATAAAATAACTTCGCTTATACTAGGCGCTCGAGGGAAGCGCCTTCCAGCGCTTCCCTCGATGGTCTCACATGACGGACATACATTGACATGATCATGAGGCGATACAATCGCAGTCTCTCAGCGCCTCTCGTCTTTCTTATCAACCACCATCACCATGAACGTGAACATCACTAGCAACACCAACGACGCCGACAATATGTTTGGGTTGGATCCCGGAGCGGGCGACTTTCTGCGAGATTGTGGCAGAGGTGGTCTCCAGGCGCTCGAAATTGTCGCTATGTCCGAGGATGTTTTTTCGCCGACTTTGAAAGCGGCTGTTGTCGACACCTTGGCCATCATTGATATCACTACGGTTTGTAGTGCTGCTTAAGCTGATCTGTGGCATCTATCTAATGGTCTGAAATAGAAATTTAATTCCAATAAGAAAGCCTGGGCTGAGTTCTCGGAGAGTCTCATCAGGCAGGTTGAGCAGATTGTTCAGTATAGCTGTCATTATGGGAAGGATCACGTTCCGTGTGCTTGGCAAACAAGTCTTGATCATCTCAAAGGGTGTGTGGTTTTGACATATGTGTTGGTGATACTGTTCGAATCTGGGGGACTCACTAGAATTTTGAAACATCTGAAAGGAAGAGTTGCAGATGTTCAACAGTACATCCAATGGAGGAGACTTCCCAGTTTCACAGAGAATATGGCATACATAGAGGAGTTAAAGGGTAAGTTGAATGAAGCCATGGGTACTTTCAATGTATGTGAACTGTTTCTCTCATGTAACTTACTCATTGTTGCCAAGTTTCAGGCACATCAGATTGTAGAAGGAAATTTATATGAAAGTAGTATGTCAAACTATCTCCTTTTTTATTCTACCATAATTTGTTTAGCTCTCACAGAGATTGAGAGCAAGGAGACTTGTACGGAAGGTGAGGCTATTGTGGCAAAACAATCCATGCAGCTGATTACCTGACAACTTCTAATCTTCTTTTTTTCAATTATTCTTCTTGTAAAAAACTTTCTAGTGGCCCAAGTAAGTGTTCTGGCAGGGGCGCAGGATATTCAGATGGACCATGCTGTAATTATTGCTGCAAATACTGTTAGTGAAGAGTTTCACATGAAGGTTCATGCTAATCTGCATCTTCATTATACAGGTCACCTACAACAATGATGGAAAACTTTCACACAAAATTAATGAGAGGATGGAAGAATCAAAGGTAAGTTATGTCAACTAATTTCTTCACAACTGATATCAAATGGTTCACTAGAAAAATGAATGGTTGAAAGAATTGAAGGCTCCATCACATAAGCAAAGGGAGACCTGCATGCCTGGAACTTGTGTGAATGTGCTCAGAGACATCCAAGTGTGGCTTCATGACCTTAACATGCCAAATATTCTCTGGCTATCTGGAAGTCCTGGTTCTGGGAAGACAACAATTGCTTCAACTGTTGTTGCTGACTTTGAATCTTTCTCTGGGCAATTCTTCTTTCACCGTGATCAGGCTGAGTTTTGTGATCCAGACAATCTGTGGAGACACCTTGCTTTGGATCTTGCACTAGGAAACAATGCTCTGGGAAAATCTATAGCTAAGGCATTAGAGACACAGAAAGCTAACATCAGAGGTCTCAATATTTCCAAACAGTTTGAGCATCTGATTGTCAAACCAGTCCAGGAGGTCTTTCAGGATACTGAAACACCTCTTCTTGTTGTTATTGATGCTCTTGATGAATGTGACCAATATCAGAAACTTTTACCATCATTGAAATCTTGGTCTTGGCAGCTTCCCAAATTTCTCAAACTACTCATCACAAGTCGTCGCTATCTTGATATTCAGAGTACACTGAATCCTATTAGTTACCCTGTTTACCTTCATACTGGAGATCAAGTTTCTGATCAGACCTATGATGACCTTGAGCTTTACTTTACTACCAGATTCTCTGATATGACTCGATTGCAAACATCACTGCATCTGAACTGGCCTGGTCCAGATAAAATTTCTTTTCTTGTAACAAAGGCTGCAGGGCTCTATATTTGGGCTAAATCTGCAATGGACTTTATCTTGCACAGAGGTGGTGATGCTGAAGAAAGGTTGAATGTCATTTGCTCTGACTCTGGGGAAGGCATTGATGCTATTGACACCTTGTACCAGCGAATTGTTTTTGTTGCTTTTCAGGGGTTGAGAGAAGCAGAGAAAAAATCTTTATCATCAGTTTTAGGAGCAATTGTTATTGCAAAGAACCCACTTTGTCCCAGTGATCTTGAACAGCTTCTGGGAGTTCGAGATGCATTGTCAACAATTAGCCAACTGAGCCCAGTACTGTTGATCAGTAATACTGGCCATTTGCATATCTGTCATCAGTCTTTTACAGACTTTCTGCTTGACCAAAAGCGGTCTAAGAATTTTTGGGTGGATTCTCAGAAGCATAGTCTCTGTTTTGCTGAATCTTGTTTGAAATATATGAGTGCAAAGCTCAAATTCAATTTTTTTGATCTGAAAACATCACATATTCTAAATAAAGATGTTCCAAATTTGATGGACCATATTAAGAATGTGAAATCTACTGCTCTAGATCATGCAAGCCACTTCTGGGCAATTTACCTGCAAAAATATTGTGATCAAACTTTACAATGGCAAATCATGAATGAGATGGAACAATTCCTGAGGGAACATCTTTTACATTGGCTGGAAATTATGAGCATAATGGAAGCCATTGATCATGCTGCTCACTCAATATTGTTGGCTGTGAGTTGGAGCAAAGTAAGTGGTACAGATTTAAAATTATTCTTCACTTACCTGAACAAATAAATAATAGGATTTGAAACCCAGTGTATCAGACTTTGCAGATGATGCACACCAATTTATAATGACATTCCTTGAACCAATATCTGATGCAGCCCCACATATATATATATCAGCACTGCCATTTGCACCACAAAATTCTCAAATGTCTCTGCAGTATATGAAACACTTTACAAAAACTTTGAAAATTCAGAATGGTCAGAGGAAACAGTGGTCAGACAGGTGTCTTCTGAGAATACAGGGAAATAATACTGCAGTTGCATATTCACCTAATGGAAGGCACATTGTCTCTGGATGTTATGATGGAGCAGTCTGCATCTGGGATGCTGTAACAGGCCATAGTATCATGGATCCTCTTGAAGGCCATGATGAGAAAACTACCTCAGTTGCATATTCTCCTAATGGAAAGCACATTGTCTCTGGATCTTATGACAAGACACTCAGAGTCTGGGATGCTCTGACAGGCCAGAGTGTAATGGATCCTCTAAAAGGCCACAGTGATTGGGTTAATTCAGTTGCATATTCTCCAAGTGGAAGGCATATTATTTCAGGGTCTGCTGATCACACAGTCAGAATCTGGGATGCTGGAACAGGTTGGTGTGTGATGGATCCACTCATTGGCCATGATGAGGGAGTTAAGTGTGTTGCATATTCTCCTAATGGAATGAGCATTGTTTCTGGATCTTTAGATTCTACCATTCAAGTCTGGGATGCTGGAACAGGTCAGTGTGTGATGGATCCACTTATTGGTCATGATGAGGCAGTTGAGTGTGTTGCATATTCTCCTGATGGAATGAGGATTATTTCTGGATCTTTGGATTGTACTGTTAGAGTCTGGGATGCTTTATCTGGTCAGAGCATAATGGTTCTCCTCAGAGGCTCTGATTATATTGAATCAGTAGCTTTTTCTCCCAATGGTGAGGATATTGTTTGTGGGACTGAATGTCATACAATTAGATGTTGGAATGCTCTGACAAGTCAGTGCATAAAAAGTCCTCTTGAAAATGGCAAGAAAACAATTTTTTCAGTGGCTTTTTCTCCCAATGGCAAACATATAATTTCTGGTTGTAGAGACGGTACAATCAGAGTTTGGGATGCTATGGCAGGTCATACTGAGGTAGATTGTCCCACAGGCCATGATGATGGGATAAACTCAGTTGCATTTTCTCCTAATTGCAGACACATTGTCTCTGGGTCTGATGATACAACACTCAGAGTTTGGGATGCCCTGACAGGTGTAAGTGTCATGGGTTCACTTAAAGGTCATAACAGTAATGTTGAATCAGTTGCATTCTCTTCTGATGGCAAATACATTGCCTCTGGATCTGCTGATTGCACAGTCAGAGTCTGGGATGCTCTAACAGGACAGAGTGTCATAGCTCCTTTCAAAGGCCATGATAATTGGGTCCTTTCAGTTGCATTTTCTCCTGATGGTAGATACATTACATCTGGATCTAGTGACAAGACAGTCAGAGTCTGGGATGTACTAACAGGGCAGACAACACTGGATCCTTTCATAGGTCATGGTGATCATGTTAATTCAGTTGCATATTCTCCAGATGGCAGATTCATTATTTCTGGGTCTTGTGACAAAACTATCAGAATATGGGATGCTCAGACTGGTCAAAGTCTAATGAATCCCCTTATTGGCCATGGGGATGATGTTAAGGCTGTTGCCTTTTCCCCAGATGGAAGGTACATTGTCTCTGGATCTTGTGATAGAACTGTCAGGGTGTGGAATTTTCAGACAGGTCAGAGTGTGATGGATCCTCTCAAAGGGCATAGTAGTTATGTTCTTTCAGTTGCATTCTCTCCTGAAGGGAGGTATATTGTTTCTTGTTCTCGTGACCAAACAATTAGACTCTGGGATGCTAGGACAGGTCACAGTGTGGGAGATCCATTCAAAGGCCATGACATGGCTGTTCTATCAGTTGTGTTTTCACCTGATGGTAGTCATATCACTTCTGGATCTGCAGACAAAACCATTAGACTCTGGGATGCTGAAACAGGTTACACTAACCTAAATCCCTCAGCTTCTTCAGTTGTGTTGCCATCCACACTCTTGCTGTCTGAAGTCAGGAAAAATGTTAATAACATTGGTACTCATCACAACATATCCCCCATTTTCAAGGGTGAACCTGCTGTTTTCTATCCTGCTAAAGGGCCTAGTAATTGGATCATGGGAGAAGATTCTCTGTCATATCTCTTCTGGGTGCCACCAAGCAATAGACATGGCTTATTCTTCCCAAGAACAATTAATGTACTGAACAGCACTCCAACCATACTTGATTTCAGTAACTTTGTCCATGGTACAAATTGGAGCCAATGTTTTTCACCAGCCTCATAAATAGCATTCAATGCAGGTGCTGAATGTATGGCCTCTTCATATAATTTCTTACCAGTTGATAGAAAGTACTGGAGAAATCTCTGAGATAAGATTCTTTTTCTTTTGAACATTAGGAGGAGGGACAGTCTCTGCTTTTGAGTTCATTTTATATATGGCTCCAAAGTTAGTTCTGTGTTTCTTCATGGTATATAATATACAGTACATAACAATGGTGAGCTAGGCTCAATTAACCAAGTTTGAACCAATTTTCCCAATGGGGCACAGAGGAATGTTTTGGGTTGGGTCCCCAGCAGAGCTCATCTCACTTACAACCCAAACCACTGCAGCGTTTGAGTCATTCAAGCTTTTTTGTAGTTGGGAGGGTTAGTCCTTGCCATGACCAGAACAACTGAAACTGAGTCACAAAATGCAACCACTTTGACTTGCTGCTGCATGAACCATCAATGATAAAAAAGGTTTGTGCATCCCGTATTATTGATGAGTGTGTACCTTCTTTGCTATTTCAATTGATAATGGCTGTATCCACTGCAGTCAAGGTGGGTTGCATAACCTTCTAAAAAAGGTCCCCAAGACTAACATTCAACTCATTCACCAGACATGTCGTCACCTCATACCCGGTGTATTCAAGATTCATGTCAACTGAATGAATGTTGCCGACTCAGTTTTTCTTTTTAAAAAAAGTGCATGTAGTTGGACTGTGTATAGCAGGCACTGGTGTAGATTGGAACACCCACTGTGATTTCAACAATTTGAGATGAGTGGGGCTTGTATCTGGACCAGTGGGGTTCAATTCCCCAAGAACCGCATTGTATTCCTCTGCCCACACGTACTTGCCTTTTTTTTCATTGGTATTTTTGCCGTGGCGGCGTGGCCTCGATGTACCATGATGGCCATAGTCTGTATTTCGGAACCCACTGCAAGTTTTGGAAGAAAAACACATCTAATTTTATTTATAATAAATATATAAACTGTCCCCTCAATCCCAGGTGTGTGTTAGCATACCTACAGAGTTCAAGAGTTTGATTCGAAGGGTTCGAAAAAAAGAGTTGCAAGTGGTGGAAATAAAATGAAGCATGAAGGGGTCAGCTATGTACGTAGGTAGATGGTATATATAAATACGTGTGTGTGTGTAATAAGACAAGGTATCGCATTAGAATGGGAGTCGTAAAGGGGTGGGTGTTGAAGAAGCGTAGACAGCAAAGGGGAGGGATGAAAAGGGTGGGCAGGTAGATGGTATATATGCATAAGACAAAAAAAAGAGTGGACAGGACGCGTTTGTCGTTGGTGGATGTATCCCAGGGTTAGTTTGAGTGTTGCGTATCATATGCTTGATTGAGATCCTCATTTGATGATGATGCTGGAACGTGCATGCGTGTTTGATGATTTGGTTGGTTGGTCGATTGGGAAGGGAAGGGAAAGGAAAGGAGGTGCTGATGCGGTTGGTCGGGCAACAGGAAGTAAAAAGAGAGTAGGGGAGGTGAAGGCCAGGAGAGGAACACAGGGCACGCTAATACCCAACCACACCCGCCTTCCTCCTATACATCCTATGCCGCCTCGCAGGCACACCCGTAATCGTCGGCTGTGCCCCCTCCTGTTGTGATTATCACAACACCGTGAACACGTTTGTTTTTCCTTTCTTTCTTTCACTCTCTCTTTATGCTTAGCTCACCCTTTATTCCGTCTCGTATATATATACCATACATTAGCCTATGTACACCTCAGTCCGTTATACTGAGACTGAGGTGAGCCACTCTACTTACCGATTACTACACTCTTACTTACTTTACCTAGATTGACTCCTTACCGTGTGATCTAGGTACATACATCAATTCAGTCCGTTATACCGAGACTGAGATTGACTCCTTACCGTGTGATCTAGATCTAGATTTCTACAGGTTATGGGCCACTAGTCACATACAGTGACAGAAGAAACTAATCTATCACATCTTATCTCACGCGATCTTCTGGACGTGTACTCAACATGCTACCTAATTAGGACACGTCAAATATTCTTTGTCGCCTCGAGGCTCTTCAAACCTCTCGTTAACTCGCTACCACCACCACTATGCCTGAAACTGTCGAAACCCCTCTTCCAACAAATATGACTGTCATTCTTGCGAGCGATGAGTCACACCCATCTATCACTCTAAACCGCTCCAGCACCCCATATACCGGTGATAAACTCAGCAAAGCAAAAGGGAACTATCGACAATGGTACGAGGACATGCTTATCCACTTGATGGGTAGCTGTCTCTTTGATTACATTGAAGGTGATTCCTCTATCCCCTCCGCTACTTCTGAACCGCGCGCACACAAGAACTGGCTCGCCAACGATCGCCAAGCCTGGTCCATCATCGCTGGAAGCATCGACCCCAGTGAACGAGCCTACATCAAGCTCGAAAGTGGCGGCGCTACTATGGCGAAGGCAGCTTGGACCACCTTAAAAGCGAGACACGAGAATGAGGGACCAATCCGTCAGGTCAATTTGCTGCAAAAAGCGCTAGCCACTAAATGCACAAAGGACATATCTCTTCCTGAGACGGGTCGTCAAATTTGCAAAGACATTAAGCGGGCTTTCACCATCGGAACTCTCAACCAAGACCTCCTCTGTTGTATCGCGCTCATGAACGCGCTCGAGGATTTTCTGCACCTTCGCACCACCATATCCACCAGCCTCACTAACTCCAAGTCCGGCACTTATACATCTGAGGACATCCTGCTCCTACTCGAGACCGAACAATCTCTACGCGACACAGACACATTAAAACGAAACCACAACAACCAAATCACTGAATCCACAGCCTTAGCAGTTCAACAATCCAAATCATCGAGGTCTACCTCCTCCAATGCCCCCTTTTGTACTGGCTGCAAACGCTCAGGCCACACCCATCCTTACTGCGTTCTAACTGGAGGCGGAATGGAGGGAAAGACCATAGTGGAGTCCATTGCAGCTCGTAAAAGGGACAAGGAAAATAAGAAGGCAGGGGTTAATAGCAACGCCTCAACTCCAGGGAAAGTCTCAGTCACCATGAAAGACTCCAGCGGCAAGGCATTTATTGTGCACGTTGATCCCGCAGACATATCTATGCCTACACCCAACGCTGAATTTGCAGGAATCATGTCCGACGCTATCCCAGACAGTTTTTCTCCCGCCGCACCTATTGAATCAATCGAGTACGAAGGATGGTTCGCATTTGAGGAGGAGCTGAAGACTGGTGGCTACCACTTTTATGATAAAACTAAGGCAATTGCCTGCAGAGCTGTGTGTATAAGTCCACAAGTTTTATGAAAGGCATTTCATAGATGTGTCCTATGTTTTCTTTCTCATCAAACCTATGTTCTTTTCATAAGATATAGGCAAGGCCACAGAGTGCTTTTCATAATTAAACCTGTGCGCTTTCAATAGGTATTTCATTCACTATGTTAGGTGTATTCATTGCCTCTTTCATATTTAATGGTGTGCGCTTTCATTGAATATTTCATTAGGAATATTGGATGCTTTCATTGTACTTTTCATAATTAATGTTGTGCAATTTCAATAACTATCTCATTCCCTAGGTCAGGTGTATTCATTGCCTCTTTCATAATTAATTGTGTGCGCTTTCATTGAATATTTCATTAGGAATATTGGATGCTTTCATTGTACTCTTCATAATGAATGTTGTGCAATTTCAATAAATATCTCATTCCCTAGGTCAGGTGTATTCATTGCCTCTTTCATAATTAATGCTGTGCGCTTTCATTGAATATTTCATTATCAATTCTGGGTGCTTTCATTGTGCATTTCAATAAATATTTCATTAGCTAGGTTATATGTATTCATTGCTTCTTTCATAATTAATGATGTGCACTTTCATTGAATATTCCACAGCTTTCATTGGGATTTTTCATTGAGTATCTCAATATTTCATTCCAATTTCATATCTGCCCCCAGGGATATCATTACGATTTTTCATTATATTCCATGATAGCAATGAAATAGCTATTACAGTCCATCCAATGGGTCATTGGGAGGGTGGTCACATGACAAATTTCCAAAAATGGTAAAAAAAAACAAAAGTTGTAGCTCTTTACCAGAGCTTCCAGAATCAGTTGGAATTATGTCCTAAAGTGCTTCCATTGTGGAGATATAAGGTAAAAGGTTTTCAAAAGCACTGTGTTTTTTTTTGTTTTTTGCATTTTTCTTCATGAAAAGAACACTAAACAACATGATTTCAACAGATTTAGAAAGCTAAGAGAAGGGGCTACAACTATTGTATCGTGGGAAATTTCTCCCAAAAAGGAAGGTACATGCCCTAAAAGGGTAATTGACACTGACAGACTACAAAAGTAAGTTATAGCCTACAAAGTTTACTAATAGACTACAAAAAAGACTACAAAAGTCGGACATAGACTACAAAAGTTGGACATAGACCACAGAGGTCAGACAAAGACTACAATGGTTTGTAGTGTCCGCTTTTTTCATTATAAAAGTTACAGCCGATTTCATATCTATGCGGAATCCCCAAAAAAAAAATTGAGCCCAGGACCCCAGAACCAAATGACATAATGTTTTCACATCCGCAATTCCTAACATGCCTCTAAGTTCCGTTTGAGTTCAGTTCTTTCGACCAGAGTCCAGGATGCCCCCTAGAACTGTATCCCGAGATCTCAAAGCTCGTATTCCGGTCCTCTATTACGAGCAGAACTTTACCATCAAAGAAATCTGTGGACTTCTAGGCATCAAAAAGTCTCTCGCATACAAAACGCTCTCGTACTCCTCAACCTATGGAGTTCCCTATAATCCTCATGCTCGCATGGGGGGTCGTCGCCGGATTCTCAACAGAGAAGACGTAAAGTTTGTTGTGTCCCTGATCGAACGCCGCCACTGCATCTATCTCGACGAGATTCAAGAGGACTCTACCTA